AGCCTTGTCCGACACCATGAAACATTATTATCTTTGCAAATTTTACCAGGCCTTATACTTAAGTACTTTGAAATTTTTTTCCGGGGTGTTACAGTACCGTAATGAATAAGAGATGTCCTCTTCAAGATCACCGTAAACATATGAGGGGCCTCTCTTATAAAAACCCTCACATTAAAGGGTTGGTTCCAGAAGAATTTATATCCGGAATCGAAAATGTCATCGGGGAAAACTACACTCGAAGCCGCATATGAAAAGGATGCAAAAAGTAAACTTGCGCAAATACTTATCAGAGCCCTCACGGAAAAGGCTGATGCCCGGAGCCAAAAATACTTTCGGGGAGAATACACCTAAAAGTTTCACGTAGTAAGACGCAAAACAATCTGCACAAAATTCTTAAAGAAAATGCAATGATTAAAGGCTTGCATATTCTAACAATGAGAAGACTCAGACAATACTTAAGCAAAAGATGTTTTTATTTAGGAAGACATGACAAAATGGCATAGATACAAGAACTGGAAAAGAAAAGAAAAGCTAAACTGCATTGTCTCCAGAAGAAGGAGGAAGAGAAATATCCGTGGCCCCGAAAGAAGTAGACGGACCCATCGATGGCTCAACATTTACATTAGTTTGTACTTCGGCATCATCATCCTCCGATTCTTCTTTAGTTCCCAAAAGCTCGGAACTAGAACCAGAAGGACCAGGTGCATCAGACCTCGATGGGAGTCCACTTTTAGCAGCTAACTCAAGCTCGCGGGCCTCAGCAATTTCGGCATCAAAGTCAATGACACCAGCTTTGGCCACTTCCAAGGTTTTTCTCCTCATGTTGTCATGGCATGAGTTTTTTCAACAACTAGGGAAGACGTTCGGCGCTTGAGTTCTTCTTTGAGTTGGGTTACCTCGGCGGAAAGATTTTCCCAGGCGGACCTAGCAGATTTGAGGCTGACATCAAGGTCGCAGACATTTGAACTAAAGAGCCTATTATGCTTGATAGTTTTCCTGTACTTCTCTTCTAGCTGGGAGTCTTTTGCCCGCACAACATCATGCTCTTCAATTTTAGAGTTCAAGATTGCCTCTAAGGTAATCACTCTTTCAGGGGAGGCAGCCTCACGTTCGGTTGCAACAAGAACAACGTTATGGACTTCAACCCATTTGGCCCTGGCTTCGTCAAATCTAACCCTCAGAGGGCCAATTTCTTGGCTAAGGGTTACTACTTCTTGCTCGCTCCGAAGCAAATGAGCTTCCAATACAACAGCCTCAACGACTTTGGCTTCCAGTTCTAAAAGGCGAGCGATATGTTGCTCCTGTTTTGCCAAAAGCTGATCCCGTACTGAGGTAATCTCTTCCTTATCATGAATCAACCTCTGAAGGCCCTCAGAAGCAAGAAAATTGGCCTAAAAGAAAATACGAGTAAAATTCAGGAGATGTTCGCACCCAAAAATAAAAGAAGTAATAAAGGAAGAAATGAACGTACCACTGCGTCATTGTGCATAGCATTGTTCAACAAACACTCTCCCGAGAGTGCTTGAATTTTTTCCCAATCTTTCTCTGAAGCCAAAGGCTTCAGATATTTACCAAGCTCCAATGGCCGGGATATTAAGTTGCATCCTGTAGAGACCGAAAGAGTAACGTTCCTCCTCTTTTGTGGATCTCTAGAAGGGGCAGCATAATTTTGCCCTAAATTCCCATGAAATGGGGATGGTGGAAGAAGAATACCTTATTCGTGGTCAGATGTGGCCGGCGGAGGAGGTGTAGCAATTGCCGGTACAAGAATGGATGAAGATGGAAGTGATGTAGCAGTTGCTGGTGTTGGTGAAGATGGAGATAAAGCTGATGGAGTTAAAGAGTGAGAAGTAGTTGCGGCAAATGCAGTGCTTGTTGTTGGATGTTCGCCAACCAAAGACGGTAAGGGTCCGGTACTCAGCTCCGCAGTACCGGACATAACAATTGGGGCCCGAAAACAGGAGTCGACATTATCTACTAAATCAAATTCTCCCCAAAGTGCCGAGACATCGTCCTCAGTTAGTGTAGCCCTCTCAAAAGGTTGAGCATCCTATTGAGATGATGAGGATCGTCATATTCTATGTAGAGAAGCTCCCTCATCACTAGCTTCTTCTTCATCATCATCGATCATCACGATGTCTATGATCCGCCCGGAAGGAGGGCCAGTCACCATCACTACCGGAGATGACTTGGGGGCATCGGTCTTCGCCCTTTTATTCTTTTCCCCGACTGCAGAGGAGCGTCTTCTCTTTGGTTGTTAGTCTTCCAGTTGGAGACTCCGAAAAGAAGCATTTGCTCTCGAAGCAGGCCCGACACCACTTGTTCGAGTAAGCGTCTTCTAAAGCAGCCTCACTACATTAGCGGGATTAGCCAAGACATCTTCATCGGGAATAGGAACAGAGCCCGCGGGTAGACCTAATTTCATAGACAGGTTAGAAGAGATCTATCAAGTTCTTTATATGAAAATTGAAATGAGATAAGTTTGAATTACCGTGATACTTGGCCTTCCAACCGTATTTAGGGGTCAATTCTTTCCACAAACAAGTTTCTGGCATCGTAATCTTTTGTACCCACCGGTCCAAACTTTCAATCACCGGTGGGACCCATCGAGTTGCTGAAATAGACGAAAAATGGAAGATTAATACGACTATCAAAGGTTTTTTAGTAAAAGGAAATATTAAATAAAGAGCTTACGAGTGCGGTTCCAAGCGGCCGTGAAGGATGAAGCCGTTGCTAGAATGATATTGTTGGTGGCAATTGCAATGAATTGTTCCATCCATCCACGGTCGTTGTCATCATCCATGCTAGACAATAAGGCATGGTGGCCACGCTTGCAGAGGTTTATCATTCCCCCGCGGAAGATTCCATTCTCCATACAGAAGGACTTACTTATACCAAACACGCCTGGTAACGGAGGCAAAACTCCGCAATCACGGAGTCAAGCTCTCCGCTCATAGAAAACGCACCCAAAGTAAAGGGATACGTGTAAACATATGTAAAACCTTCCTTGGGAAGGTAGACTCGCTCCGATAGATCGGGAGCGATAATTTCTAAGTCATGGCAGCGACAGTCCTCCTTCACAGCAGGAATGCTCGAAGGATGTATGGAAGAAGGATACCTGCTAACGGCCCATGTACGAGAATTAACGGTAGGTAATTTCTCTTTGAAGTCTTTTGTGGTAATAAGACTTCTAGGGATGATGTAGCCCACGGTTAGAGAAACAAAGTCCTCGGCTTTGTTCTTGCTTTTTGAGAAACCGGTACGTTTTGAGGAAGAGGTCATTGTAGGAAGAAAGTGTTTTTCGTTTGAAGAGAATTAGGAAAAATATGAAGAAACAATATGCAAGATTAGTTGAAGGAAGTTATGAAGTGTAAGGGTGGAAGTTGGTACGTATAAGTAAAAGTTTTGGCAGCTAAATTCATGGCCAAAATTACCTCGATAATCGGCGAAAGATGTGTTGAATCATGGGAAGAAGCATGTTCGCGGCATTAAATGCCGAGAGACATGAGTCTAATCAACCGTCAATAGCCTTCACAGAGAATTATAGTAATTTTCGCTAAAATAGTGTTTCTGTCAATTTCCCGGTAACACAAATTTATATCACCGAAAAGCAGGGGGCTATCTGTATTAGGTAAAATATGTTATGGCACGTGGCCGTCCGAGAAAGGGATACGTGGAACCCAAGACGGGGATGACTGAAGACTGAAGACCACAATTTCGTTTGTCACCGAGGTAGAATAATGCTCATAAAGATGTGATAAATGCTCTTCTCCCGGTAGCATTAAGTAGGGAATATTCATGGCATTAAGAGCAGTTACCCGTTACAAGGAATTTGACATTTATGTTCACCGTTATATCTTCATCAATGCTCCTCATAATTGATATTAGAGAAGGGCACGACCCTAATCTTCATAGCTATAAATAGTGAACTCATGTGTCATTGTAAAGGGGACGACTATTCTGACAAACTTATACTATATTTTATACAAAATTCAATCCAATCTTAGCTTCTGATTTCTCGATTCTTTTTATTTTTGTGCCCGAAAATCTTGTTCCCGGAATTGTTGCTTCTGTTGTTTCGTCCATATCTTAAAGCTAAGTGTTGCATAATTTTTTAATTATTTATTTATTTTAAGATCAAATTAATTCACTTATCTAGAAATAACGTATAAATTCAACTGTACCGTTTTTACGAGTGAACAGTAATTTATAAAAAAAAAAAAAAACCTACATTCTAAAATGCAAGTAAGAATGTACAAGTCAAACATTCGTTGGGAATTTTTAAGAAAGGGCAACATATACCTGCAAACGTGATTGATTCTCATATTGGCATTTACTAGAAAAGCCTACTTTTCCAATAATCTTCTGCCCAAAATGAAAATTGATTAATTCAGTTTGCTCCTATATTCTTTCTTCTTAAGATAGTCTACTACGGAGCAAGAAATGTTTAACTGAACAATAGTGATACAATCGAACTCATAAGACTACAGTTTATACAAATATAATATGATTAATTTATGCTTTATACTTTACTCATTGTAACAATAAAAGTTACTATGAGATTACTTTCTGTCATATTAAAGTTAAAAAAATTTGGTGCTAGGTAATTATTTTTTATTTCATTCAATTAACTAAACTATGTGAAAATTTCTTAGAAAATTCAAATAGCAGGAAGGTCAATTTTTTAGTTTCAGATAATAATATTTTGTTTTCCTTTTTGTTTCATTTCAATCCCTTTTAATTAGTTAAATTTTTTACATGGCGGATCTTTTTAATCACTGTCATTTGAGTTTTTCTAATTAGAAATTTAATTTTACTGACAGTGAACATAATTTAATAACTCTATACCTAAAATTATCACAATATAATATCTTGTACAGTTGATTATTTCCCTTGCAACCATGAGGTCTTCATTAAAGCAATTGATTGTCCAATTTGCAATGATCCACTTTAGGTTTGGTAGGACAAGCAAGAAAATATGGTAGCTACTGTAAATCAGTCTTAATAATCAGCAGCCGCCTACTATTCTAAGCTGCCTACAAGTCAAATAAGAACAAACACAGAAATGCAAAAACAGAAAAAAAAAAAAAAAAAAAAAAAAAAAAAAAAAAAAAAAAAAAAAGAAGGAAAGACAAAACAAAAAGGAACTCATCGTGTTACAATTTCGTTAGAAACTAGGCTGCTCCATACAATTTCGTAAAATGTTCTATTTTCTCTTTCGCCCAAAATTAAAACAAAGCTGCAGCTCTAACTATACATTTCTTCACCATCTCTTGTAAAACAATTAGCTGCAGCCATGGCTTTCCATCATCGAAAGCTAATCTTTGAATCTCTAGACAATTCCACGGGCAAAACTTGTAGCAGCTATTATTGCAACGCAAAAGAGAATCCTTCTGAAATTTGTCCACTTTCATGTCTATATGTTTGCTACCCAATTTGTTCTTTTCCTCTGTTTTCAGAAATCCAACCACCTCTACCACCTAATTTTTTCACACCAAAAATTCCTCTTCCTCAGTCTCCACATAAACCCACTATTTCCATCTTCTTGATCATTCTCTTTTCTGTTTTAGCCACTTCTTTCTTCATATTTTGTTGCTTTATTGTTTACAAATTCCGCAACTCAAGAATTTTGTCACAACGGCAGCAGCAAGTGGAAGAAGATGATGAGTTTAGTGATATTGTTGATGAAGATATTTATAGACCAATGGTGGATCATCCTATATGGTATATTAGAACAGTGGGTCTTCAGCCATCAGTTATTAGCGCTATCACAATTTGCAAGTATAAAAGAGGTGAAGGACTAATTGAAGGAACAGATTGTTCTGTTTGCTTGAGTGAATTTCAAGAAGATGAAACTCTTAGAATTTTGCCCCCGTGTAACCATGCTTTTCATATACCTTGTATTGACACTTGGCTTAGATCACACACCAATTGTCCTATGTGCCGCGCCGGCATTGTCATCGCCACAACCGCGCCATCACCGTCGCCTGAACAGGTATGCTTCAAGTGTATAAATATTTCATCATAAAGCTTAAGTTGTTCGACATAACACACTTTTTATTTATTTAATTATGTGTTTTAACACACACTTTATATGTAGCTTGATTTGTTTTTACGGGTTAAGTACATGAAAATTATTGTTGATAATGGATGGAAGTGAGACTAAAACTCAAAATCTCAATTTGTTCAAATACTATTTTGAAGTGTGTGACCACTCACCCATACATTTAACATGTTACAAAAAATATACTTTTATTTATACACTTTTATTTACTTAATTATTACTATATTCAGAACTTAGGGCTGAGACATGAAGAAGAAACTCGTTCAGAGAATGCCACGGAATTAAGGATTGAGATTGAAAATGAAGGTGATTCAGCGAATATAAGTAGTATGGATATTAGTGGAAATTCCAAGGAAGATGTGGGGGATGGTAATGAAGGAGAGTTAGGTGAATTTTATGCATCAAGAATACCAGCTTCTTCGGAATCTTTATCTACAGCTTTTATGACAAGTGCTTCTACTGATGCAAATGAACAATCAACTGATCAAAATTCAAGTGAGGAATCAATTGAGGTAAATGATTCAGAGATGGGAACTTATGTATCACACAGTAGTTTTGATGTTAATGAGAGCTCATCAGAAAAGAGAAATTTTTGTGTGGACAGAGTAATGGAGAAAGAGCAAATGAGGTCTCTTTCTTTCAGTACAAGGTAGTGATCAGAAGAAGCCAGAGTGCAGCCCTTCTAAGGTGAAATTAATTACATTGTTTTCTTAGAGAATTTTCAAGTGAGACATATGAAAATTCTAGGTGTCTCAAAAACTCTTATAAAGATGAGAGTTTGCCCTTTCCTTTCCCCCAGCCACCCTACTCCCATAGAAAAGCAAAATTAATACTACTTCAAAAAGGAAAAATATAAAATAAAAGCAAATAAGAAAAAAGGACACCTATTGCTTTTATATTGTATCAGATACTTTATCAATGTTAGCTGTAGTAAGTAGTACTAGTATAAGAAGTTTGAGGCTGATGTAAAAATGGAGATCAGCCAGAGAGAAAAGAATCTCTCTTATATTGTCAATGCCATAGGCTTCTGGCAAAAGTTATCAATATTATTTCATATCTGTTTGTAAAGTATAACTGTGTCTTTTCTTTTTTGTTTTTTTTTGTGTCCTGGCTTTAGTTTATATTCATCTTGCTAGTGTGTTCCTGCCTCAAATCTACTTGCCAATGAATTCCTTTAACGCAAACAAACAAAACTCTCGTGTTGCTTTTATAATTCGTATAATATGATAGGGATTATATGCTCCTTACTGATATCCTTTTCCAATATAAGTCCTCGGAAAGGAGCATTCTTATGCCAAATATAGATTTTCCAGCAGGTGTACCAAAAGAAAATTATCCAATTATCACTCCCTTGAATTCAGACATTAGATTAGCAGTAAGCCAACCATGGAGATCAAGAACAAAGAAACAGAGCAAGAATGCAAACTCAAACAGCCTAGATCATGGAAAAATCTCAGTACTGTAAATATACCGATGAATTTTTACGGGATATGAAATGGTGGGCATTGCAAGTCTGATGATGCTAAAAGTGAAAACTTGGACAGGTCAAAGAAAAAATCATAAATGGATTCAAAGCTTTTTCAATTATACAAACATACACACACACATAACACATTACCTTCAACATACATGTGTCATTGATTGTGTAACAGTGTATGTTATTGATTATCTGAAATACATGTACTCTGGAGTATTTATAGTGAATAAATACATACAAAAGACTAAGCTACCCTTGTGTACATTATATAATACTTATCACCCCCCAAGCGATGCGTGACGTGGAAGAACACAGAGCTTGTCACGTACCAAGAGCACCCTCGGTGAAGGAAGAGCCTTTGTCAATAAATCAGCATATTGATCATTGGAAGGGACATACTTAACTTGCAAATCTCTAGAAGCAACTTTTTCCCGCACAAAATGAATATCTATTTCAATATGTTTTCTCCGAGCATGTTGCACAGGATTGTGGGAGAGATAAATGCCGCTAACGTTGTCACAAAAAATAGTAGAAGTGGATGAAAGTGGTATGTGAAGATCTCAAAGAAGCGAACACATCCAAGTAACTTCAGCAGCAACATGAGCAACTGAGCGATACTCAGCTTCAGCACTGGATCGAGAAACAACATTTTGTTTCTTAGATGACCGAGAAACAAGATTAGGCCCAAGAAAAAGACAGAATGCTGAGGTAGAACATCGAGTTGATGGACAACCTGCCCAATTTGCATCACTATAGCATTCAAGATGGTCAACAGATCCACCACTGATAAATAACCCATGAGATAGGGAGTTATTTAAATACCGTAATATATGTTTTACAACAGTGTAGTGAGCAACCAACGGTGGGTGCATGAACTGGGAAACTTGATTGACCGCAAAAGCAATATCAGGACAAGTAAATTTTAAGTATTGAAGTCCACCAACAAGACTACGATAAAGTGTAGGATCAGAAAAAGGAGGAGAATCAGTAGTATGTAATGAGTTTTTAGGAGAAATGGGAGTGGAAACAGGTTTTGAACACAGAAGATTAGCACGGTGAAGAATATCTTTAATATACTTAGATTAACAAAGAAAGTAACCACCCTCTTGTGGTATGACAGAAATACCAAGAAAATAATTAATTTGTCCTAAATCATTCATAGAAAATTCTAATTTAAGTGTATGAATCAAAGAGGAAAGCAAAGATGAGGAAAATGACGTGACAAGAATGTCATTAACGCGGAGAAGTAAAATAGCAATATCAGATGTAGTTTTGTAAACGAAGAGAGAATAGTCTGATTTACTATTTTTAAATCCATAACAAAGAAGAAAAGAAGTAAATCGATGAAACCACGCCCTTGGGGCCTGTTTTAAGCCATAAAGAACTTTGTTCAACTGACAAACATAGTTTGGAAAGTTTGGGTGAACAAAGCCAGGAAGTTGTTTCATGTATACCAGTTCATTAAGAGTGTCATGTAAAGAGGCATTAGTAACATCTAGTTGGTGAATTAACCAAGCCTTAGACGCAGCAAGAGCAAGGACAGTGTGAATGGTAACTAGTTTCACCACTGGACTAAACATTTGATCATAGTCTAGTACATGTTGTTGTTTATACTTGAGCTACTAAACAGGCTTTAAAACGCTCAAGAGAACCATCCGATTTTTGTTTAACCTTAAAGACCCAACGACAACTAATTATATTTACTTCTACAGGAGGTAAGACTAAATCCCAAGTATTATTAGTCGTAAGAGCATTATACTCTTCGGCTATTGCTCGTCTCCAATTTGGATTTATATTAGCTTCCTTAAAAGAAGATGGTTTAGATGGGAGTGAGGAAATGTCAGAAAAAAGAGAAGGAAGTATTTGCGGCTTAAGACTACCGGTTTGACCACGTGTGATCATGTGATGTTGTTTGGATGAAGGGAGCTTTAAGTTAAGAGAAGAGGTGATTAGATACTGATGATGGAGGGGTAGAGGAATTACCATGAGAAGGATTTTGTCTAGAAGAATAAGATTTATCTAGATGACATGATGAAGATACATAAGAGGGGTTGAGAACTCTAAAGGAAGAAGGAGTCTTAGGGTGGCTATTTACTGCATTTGAAATTGGAGATATTATTGGTGCATGAGGAGAAGAAAGATTTTGATAAAAAGAAGGTATAGATTGGTGCAAATTGGAAATCGATTGTTGAGGGGTATTAAGAGTAGAACTCATCCTTGAAGTTGGAGAATGTGGATGGCGTGATTCATTTGGATACCTCTGTAGGTTTCTAATAGATAAAGAATGCAAAGAATTTAAATTATAGTGGGGAACAACTAAAGAAGGAGAGAAATGTGGAAGTGGATAGGTGCTGAAATTTGATAGGATCTTGTTATTGATGAGCAGGGCGAGGTGCCTGCAGCGGAGCCAGCCCTTGTGGATTTCATGTCCCCACTAGGATTCCAGGAGGTCATGGGCCATATGCTACGGTTCATGGATTCTATAACGTAGGCTAGTTTATTTCTAGCATGCCCAGACACATCTCAGGCAGGAGGGGGAGCATAGACCCCTACTGCTCAGGCTACAGGGCATGCAACTGCCGTATATCAGACCCCGGGCGCACTACCCATGGGCGGAGCTCAGCCAGTTACAACGGTTATACTAGAGCCCAGACCAACTGCGGGCAGTGAGCCGTAGAAGCTATTGGATAGATGGACCAGGCTACATCCTCTTGTCTTTGGAGGTGAGCGACATGAGGACCCCTAGGACTTTATTGATCGTTGCAGGGACAGACTGCACAATATAAGGATATTGGAGTCCCACGGGGTGGACTTTACCACATTTCAGCTGGAGGGCAGGGCCCGTAGGTGGTGGTAGTCCTATCTTCTCGACATGCCAGCAGGTTCTCCTCCCTTGACTTGGGACCAGTTCACACGCCTCTTTGTGGATATATATATTCCACCCTCACAGAGGGAAGAGTTGTGATTTTCGTTTGAGCAGTTCCAGCAGGGTCAGATGTCGGTGACCGACTATGAGGCGAGATTCTCTGAGTTGTCTCGCCATGCACTTATGATACTTTCCACTGATGCAGAGAGAGTGCAGAGATTTGTTACAGGTTTGCACTCTGGTATCCAGGCCACTATGGCCCGAGAGGTTGAGATGAGGACTTTTTACGAGCTAGTTATGGAGATAGCTCGTAGGATCGAGAGTGTTCGTCAGTGGGGCCAAGAGCAAACGCCGAGGGACAAGCGATTTTGATATTCGGGGGGGTTCAGTGGTGCTCCGTCTGGGGGCAGAGGTCAATTTGTGAGGGGTCAGTCTAGCATGCCCACATATCCAGCATCGCCACCTCTTTGGGGTGCTCCAGTGCGGTCCAATTTTAGCGTCATTCCAGAGAGCTCCTACTGTCCACTAGCCATTCAGGGTTCCTCTAGTGGGAGTTTAGGTCCCCAGGTCAGATTTAGGGTCAGTCATTTTCCACACCGAGGGGTTGTTTCGAGTGCGGGGATCTTGGTCATGTGATGAGATTCTACCCTAGGCTTTGGGGCAAGGCAGTACAACAGGGTCATCAGCCTATGATTACAGCACCAGTTATTGCACCAGCCGTCCGGCCGCCCAGAGGAGGAGGGCAGGTGGGTAGGGGTCGTCCTAGATGAGGAGGCCAGTCAGGTAGCGCTCTAGCTAGGTTCTATGCCTTTCCAGCCAAACTAGATGCAGTAGCCTCAGATTCCGTGATCACATGTATTATTTCTATCTGCGGTAGGGATGCTTCGGTACTATTTGATCCATGGTCTACATATTCATATGTTTCATCTCTGTTTGCTCATTTTCTGGGTGTTCCTCACGAGTCCCTGGGTTGTCACGACCCAACTGGAGGGTCATGACTAGCACCCGGGCCATACTTGCTGAGCACCAACGTACATTTTATCTAACCTTCCTTATTATCTTTAAGGGCCGACAAGATCAATATAAATGGTAGACATGGATCATGAACAAACAGGTGATGTTGAAGATAAGAAAAGGATAAGAAAAGAAGCTCTCATTAAAACGAACATGTCTAGAAATATATACTTTGTTTGTGATTGGATCAAAACATCTAAATCCCTTATAATTTGACGGATAACCAAGAAATACACAATGTTTGTGAGTAAAACTATACTTGCTAAGTAAGTCTTG